AAATATAAAATTTGAATAATAGGTAACTGATGGCAATAAGGGAAGTAATGGAAAAGTTGGTGGCAGTGACATTAACATTTACAGACCCCGTAATACATTATATTTAGTAAATCAGGTTAGTCCTGGTACTTAACTCACAATTCGTTGATAAACTCTTCCTAACATTTTTATGGCCATCAAGTCTATGTGAAATATACTGTTTGGATATACATTGTAATATTAAAAACTATGCACTTGAATATGAATCTGAAAACCTTAACAAATTATATCAATTATAGCTGACAGTCTAGAAACAATATATAAACCAATGCTAACACTTACGCCTGAAACTTCTTTTTATTTCTTATCTAACTTCCAACTTCTTACATGATTTTAAAACTTGTTTTTGTATTTAAAACAACAGGGGCAACTGAACTTCACTTTCAAACAATATTTATTTTTATAAATCAGTGCAAAATATACTTAGTGAAAATACATCTTGGGTCCAAAGCTTCAAAGGGTGAAAAGGAAGATTTTAAATTATATCTAATATATTACGATTGTTCTGTCTTTTAAAACCCTTTTCAGATCACCCCCTGGATGTTTCTTCCCTAGAAGTCTCAGAGAATTAACAACACAATGTAATCTAGGTTTAAATTTGGGTTTCTCCTGTGTTTCAGATACTGATGTTTGAGCTTTCTCTTCCTGACAAGCCACTTAAAGAGTCACTGTTACTTTGAGGTTTTATCTATAAGATTCGTGTCTTTTGGGCTCATTAAGAACATTTCCAAAGATTACAATGTCAATAGCACCTAATTACTGGACTGTGAGAAAGTTCTTCTTGAGTACATAAAATCTGTGGCAGTGCACAGTACACAATAGGCAGCTCAGATCCCAAATTTTATCACAAGTAAGTAGCAAACAAATTAATAATGTTACCTGTGCTCTCTTGGATAATTACTACTGCATAAAAACTGCTTTGAAATGTTGCAGATAGTATTGTATCTCATTCTTTTAATCCCCTTAGAGTAACAAGGATTTATTTGTCTCTTAAACTTTCTATGTTGCATGTACCACTCGACTTTCTCGTTCTGTTTAGAACTTTTAGAACTTGCAAAAGTAACAAAAAGTCATTTTCAACCGGTCTAGGAAGGACATATCACCTGATATGACATTGTTTTAAATTAAATTTTATATTTTACTTTACTCTTTTCAAAATATATACTGTATGTTTTGATACTATTGCTAGATTTTATTTTTTACTTATGCCTGGCAGAAAATCAGCTACTGCAGAAGCAGAGGAGGCTGGGCACAGTGGCTCATGCCTGTAATGGCCAGCACTTTGAAAGGGTACGTATGGCAGCAGGATAGCTTGAGCCCAGGAGTTTGAGACCAGTCTGGGCAACATAGTGAGACCCTGTCTCTACAAAAAATAAAGAAATTAGCTTGATGTGGTGGTGTGTGCCTGTAGTTCCAGCTACTACTCAGAAGGCTGAGGCAGAAGCATCACCTGGGTCCAGGAATTTGAGACTGCAGTGAGCTATGACTGGACCACTGCACTCCAGCCTGGATGACAGAGCAATACCCCATCTCAAGAGAAAAAAAAAAAGCAGTAGAGATTAGCTGTTTTAATTTATTAGCCTACTGTTTAAGGCATCATTACTTTCATGGGGGGATTAAAATATAGTTTTGCAAGGCTTTAGCTTGGGATTATACTATGAACAGCTCAAGAGGACAGGCAGAGAGAAGAATCAGCTAGGCATGTCACATATATGATCTCACTTCATCCTCATAACAAACCTAAGAGGTAGGGTTGCCATGTCTGTTTTACACAACAGGGAGCACTAAGATGAAGGCACCAGTGAGTAAGTAGTCACCTAAGCTTGGAAGCAGTCTGTCAGCCTCCAAAGCCCAGGTTCTCTCTGTTACACTATGGATATTCCCCACTGTGTTTTGTTGCAAATGGGATATTTTCCGTGTTGTCATGCATGAATCTTGGGGCAGGTGAAAATAATTGAGTGGGGATTAGCACGTACCCTTAGCCTACACTGGATTTGAATCCAGCTGCTCCACTTATTTGCAATATAAACCTACCAGTTTACAAACCTCTCTGTATTCAATGGTCTTACCTGTAAAATGGGGGAGAGCAAGAGTACCTACCTCATAGGGTTTTTGTGAGGATTAAAGTAAAAATGTGAAAGGCATTTAGAATATTACGTATATCCACTGAATGCTAGTTACATGTAATTTCACAAAGTGTTTTGTGGTGTGAAAGTATAGCCTAAGAAGCTCAACCTTTGATGCCAACACTGAGGATTCTGTAACAGAAAGGATAATGTTCCATAGGATATTTTAAATATTCCTATCCTATTTACATATTTAAAAATGGAATGCATTTTAACTTTAAAGTGTTCAGTTTGGGATCTGTTACCAAACAGGTTATAGTAACCCCTTATATTTTAGGTACCTGTATTAGTCCATTCTCACACCGCTATAAAGAACTACCCGAGACTGGCTAACTCATGGAGAAAAGAGGTTTAATTAACTTAGTTTCACAGGCTTAACAGGAAGCATGGCTAGGAGGCCTCAGGAAACTTACAATCATGGCAGAAGGGGAAGTAAACACATCTTACAATGGAGGAACAGGAGAGACAGAGAGAGACAGCGAAGGGCCACACACTGTTAAACCATCAGATCTCACGAGAACTTACTATCATGAAAACAGCATGGGGGAAATCAGCCCCCATAATCCAATCACCTCCCACCAGGCCCCTTCTCCAATTCGACATGAGATTTGGGCAAAGACACAAATCCAAACCATATCAATACCTAATACCTGTTTAATAGATATTTTTGAATTAGTGCTTGAAAGCATTAATAATGTATTAAACTATTTCCTGGGAGTCTGAAGAGGGTACTCAACCTTGTAAAGTACTTTGGGAGCTTGGAATAACTTGTTTGGTGAAGATTAGCAATAATCTAGGCTAATTTGGCCCTTTTATTAGCAATAATCACACCTCAGATAAACCTTATTGGCTGCAATATTGCCACTGCGCAAAGCTATTTTGGTCCTTTAAATGTCCAGCTTGAAAGCCATCTGCAAGGCATTGCCACTAAAGATCATGCTTTCTAAAGAGAAGATTCATTTACTCCCCAAATTAGAAAATCAGTAATTCAGCTTTCCTCTTAACATTCATTTAGTTGTTTTTATTCAGTAAAAATAGGAAATTTATTTCTAGTAAATTTTGGATTAACTGGAACCAATTAATAAGAAATTTTTGTTAACTGGATTATTTCCCAAAACTATCTTTAGAGGGAAGAACATTACATGTCAAAGCTGTATCTGAGATTGAATAGGAGGAAATTTCATGGTTATGTCCACAGGCTTCTGGTGTGAGCATTTTATCTTATGCCTCCTCTATAATGCTGATTAATATTCAGAATGATGAGCCTTATAGCACACTGTAAAATTATGGATCATAAAACATTTATATTCAATTTTATTAGTAAGGCAAAAAAATGAGCTAACAGATTTTAGGAGGATTTTCAGTAGACAGAGCGGCAGTAACTCTACATTTTGCATTTTCAGGGCTTAGAAAAGGGAGTGACAGTGTTTGTTTCAGTGGGGCTGCCTTATGTGTCATGTGGCCATCAAAATTTATTTGTGTCACTTCAAGGGGACCTTTGCAAAATGGTTTTCTTGGCTAGGGAAAGTCAGCTTTCAATGCAAAATCCTCAATTGAATTTTTAGGGAATGGAATTCTATGGTTAATTAAACTTCCTAACTAAAATTGCAGGCCATAAGTGAATTAATACAGAAGTAGAAAACCAAACACCACATGTTCTCACTTATAAGAGCTAAACATTGAGTACACAGGGACATAAAGATGGGAATAACAGACCCCGGGGTCTCCAAAAGGAGGGAGGGAGGGAGGCAAGGGTGGAAAAACTTCCTATCCCATACAACTAATTACTAGTTCACCAATTGGGTGATGAATTCCATCAAAGCCCAAACCTCAGCATCATGCAATACATCTACACAGCAAATGTGCACATGTACCCCTGGAATCTAAAGTTAAAAAAAATTTCAAGCCAACTAAACTCATTAATCCATATGTTTACATAAAATGTGAGTACATTAAGATGCTTTAGAAATAATTTCAGCCTGGGTAACATGACAAAACCTCATCTCTAAAAAAGCCAACCAATCAACCAAGCAAACAAAAATCAGCTGGGCATGGTGGTACGCACCTGTTGTCCCAACTACTCAGGAGGGTGAGACAGCCAGGTTGCCCAGGCTGGTCTAAAGCTCCTGGACTCAAGCATCCCAAAGTGCTGGGATTACAGGTGTGAGGCACCAGGCCCAGTCTACTCTTCTTGTAATTATTAAGTTGGAAAAAAATAGGAATTTAACAGGAGCTTCAGGTTTGTTGGCAGTTTAATTTAAAAAAAACAAATGAGATTCCAACTAAGGCGGTTTCTGGTTTTGAAGTAAAACTAATTTTTTTTTTTTTAACTTTAAAGACAGGGTCTCACTCTGTCACCCAGGCTGGAGTACAGTGGCATGATCTTGGCTCACTGCAGCCTTGACCTCCTGGGCTCAAGCAAATTCTCAGCCTCCTAAGTAGCTGGGACTATAGGTGCATGCCACTACGCCTGGCTAATTTTTTTTTTTTTTTTTTTTTTTTTTTTGTAGAGGTAGTCTTTTATGTTGCCTAGGCTGATCTGAAACTCCTGGTTTCAAGTGATCCTCCCTCAGCCTTCAAAAGTGCTAGGATTACAGGCAAGAGCCATTGGGCCTTGCATAGATTGATTTTCAATTAGCAGTGATCAGTAGTCAGAAGTATATATTAGGATTCTTTTATTCAGTTTATCTGTGCAATAATTTTATAAATTGGCTGAAAAAAGTCATGCATTTGCCCAGAATACCAAATACCTCAGGGTACAAAAGAAAAGCAAAGTTAATCTAGACTAAGTAGCCGTTCTGGTGTGAACCTCATTTCCAACAAAAAGATTCTTACCTTTTGGTGAAAGTTGAAGAGATGCCTGATCACTGACTACATCCACATGCTTACTGTCTACCTGTAAGTGAATCAAAAACTTTCATTACTTAAGTTGAATAATATTAACTCAGTAAATATTTAAGAGAGAGAAATAAGCTACTTACTGAAGATGTACAATGACTTGAAGAGGAAGTACCTGTTACGGTTGTTCTAGATTGCACTAATAAGGGTTTTACTTTCTGAAAGACACAAAAGATATGTACTGTGTTATCAGGAGGAAATAATAGTCAAATCAAATGGACGTTAATGTTCTCCAGCCTTTAGTTGACCAAGATATGGAAACTATGCTTGTCACTTATTTGCTCAAATATGGCTGGGGAAATCCTTTTCTTTATTCCAATGGGATACAGTCTCTTTCTTCTTCAGCCCACTTTGAAAGAAAATTTAAGAAAACTATTTTCCTTAGTATCTCTTCTGACTCGACTTCCTTTTGGTTGTCCCTACAATTGAGACTTACTACTTGCAACTGTTTGGAAGCTACAAGGGCATCCCCACCACCTCCTAGTTACTAGAAGCTACAGCAATGGTGTCCTGATTCCCAAGTTAAAGAAAAGTTTCCTGAAATTAAAGGAAGCACATACTTCTAGAAATGATGTATTATGAGATCTAGATGAAAATCTCCTTAAGGCTTTTGGCTGGGACAATGGAGTATAAGAATATATGGATTCAAGGAAATGTAGACAGATGACTCTGGAAATGAATAGGCTGAAATGAAATGCAAAGGACTTTTGGATGTGGTATGGAAAGATTACCTGTGAATAAAACACAGACATAGAACTTAAATCCAAATAAGACTTTCATTTCTTATATTTTTCAGTGTTGCTGTAAGCTGATGAAAAACGCAGGGTCCAGGCATGGTGGCTCATACCTGTAATCCCAGCATTTTGGGAGGTCGAGGTGGGAGGATCGCTTGAGTCCAGGAGTTTGAGACCAGCCTGGGTAACATGACAAAACCTCGTCTCTACAAAAACTACAAAAGTTAGCCAGGTGTGGTGGCACATGCCTGTAGTCCCAGTTACTTGAGGGGGCTAGGGGAGCTGAGGCGGGAGAATGACTTGAACCCAGGAGGTCGAGGCTGCAGTGAGCAGTGATTGTGCCACTGCACTCTAGCCTGGGTGAAAGAGTAAGACCTTGTCTCAAAAATAAATAAATAAATAAAGCAAGCAGGCAAGTAGGAATACTCAGGTCCTAGACCAAGAGAAGATGGAAACCCAGGACTTCCACCCTGGAGCTCTCATTGACTTGGAGGGCATTTGCCAAACTTTCTGAATATGTGCATGAGTTGTCAAAGGTTCCTATGACTTGGGAGGACAGGATACAACTCAGGGTACACCTAAGGTGTGGAATTTAACAAGACACTCCCACCCCACTGTACGGGTGGGACTGTAATGCTATAACCAGAGTAAAGGTAAAATACTACCTCAAGTGAGGCTCCCCCAAGCAGTTTGCAAGGAAAATGCCTGCTTCTAAGGTTGGCAACTAGTTGAATACCATTAAAAAAAAACCCTCCTTTGCTGGGCGCAGTGGCTCACGCCTGTAATCCCAGCACTTTGGGAGGCCAAGGCAGGTGGATCACGAGGTCAGGAGATCGAGATCATTCTGGCTAACACAGTGAAACCCCATCTCTACTAAAAATACAAAAAATTAGCCCGGCGTGGTAGAGGGTACTTGTAGTCCCTGCTACTCTGGAGGCTGAGGCAGATGAATGGTGTGAACTCGTGAGGTGGAGCTTGCAGTGAGTGGAGATTACACCACTGCACTCCAGCCAGGGCGACAGAGCGAGACTCCGTCTCAAAACAAAACAAAACAAAACAAAACAAAACACACACACAAAAAAACAAACAAAAAACACCCTCCTGTGAATTCCTAACCATTACTAGCCCATGCCATTTGCCAGCTGAATTCACAAGGTGGTCTGAAAAGTAATATGCTAAAAAAATTAATTTAACTAATTCCAGAATAATGGTGTTCATGGCAATGGAAAGAAGCACATTTAAACCTTTTATGGAAAAATTCCTCTTCAGCCGAGTCCTCAGAGAATTTTTATAAATAAGGTTCCAAGGAAAGTGAGCAGTTCATTGTCAAAAATCTGTATATACATCATGAGTAGTTGCTAGCATAAACAAGATAGTAGAACCAGAGTCTCTAAAACTTCAAATATAGAAATTCTCAGTCATAGAATATAAAATAAGTATGTTTAATATGTTTCAAGAAATAAAACGTAGAAGCTTGATGATGAATAATTTGTTTGCATATTTAAAAAAGCAAACAAAATTTATTTCTATTTTTTAGAAAAATTATAAATATAATAATTGAAATGAAAATCAAGAGGCCAATTTTAGCGGAAAAATTATACATCTGTGAAAATAATAATAAATTGCAAGAGAGAATGAAACATATTATCAAGGATGCAACTCAGAGAGACAAAGTGATGTCAAATATAAAGGCTAAGCAATAGCAATACGAAGGATAGAGGGAAAAGGTAAAACCTCATTTGGTCAGAGTAGAAGACAGAAAAGAATAGGAGTATGGCAAAATATAGAGTTAAGAACTGAACACTTTCCAGAACTGATGAAACAAACTGACCTCAACTTTCAAGAATCCTGATAAATTTCAAACAGAATAAACAAAAAGAAATTCACAACTAGACACATCATAGTAAAAATGCAGAACACTGAAGAAAGAGACCTTAAAAGCAGCTAAAGACGAGAGACAGATCAATGTTAAGAAAGTCACAGTTAAAGAGATAGCAACATTCCAATGCTAACAATGTGTATTAGTCTGTTCTCATGTTGCTGATAAAGACATACCGGAGACTTTACAAAGGAAAGAGGTTTAATTGGACTTACAGTTCCACGTGGCTGCGAAAGTCTCACAATCATGGTGGAAGGCCAGGAGGAGCAAGTCACATCTTATGTGGAAGGCGGCAGGCAAAGAGGCGCGCTCGTGCAGGGAAATCCCCTTTATATAACCTTCAGATCTTGTGAGACTTATTCATTATCACGAGAACAGCACGGGAAAGACCCGCCCCATGACTGAATTACCTCCCGCTGGGTCCCTCCCATAACACACGGAAAGTCAAGAAGAGATTTGGGGCCGGGCGCGGTGGCTCACGCGTGCAATCCCAGCACTTTGGGAGTCTGAGGCAGGCGATTCACGAAGTCAAGAGATTCAGACCATCCTGGCCAACATGGTGAAACCCCATCTCTACTAAAAACACAAAAATTAGCTGGGCGTAGTGGCAAGTGCCTGTAATCCCAGCTACTCAGGGTGTGAGGTAGGAGAATCACTTGAACCCGGGAGGCAGAGGTTGCAGTGAGCCGAGATCGTGCCATTGCACTCCAGCCTGGGCGACAAGAGTGGAACTCCATCTCAAAAAAAAAAAAAAATGAGATTTGGGTGGGGATACAGCCAAACCATACCACAATGGAATCTAGAAGACAGTGGAATGGTATGTTCAATGTGCAAAGAGAAAGTATCATAAATCTAGAATTTTACACCTAGAGAAAATATCTTTCAATAACAGGGGCAAAACCAAAGACATTTTCTGTCAAGTGATCACTGAAAGTGTTGGCCTCCAGCAGATCCCCACTAAAGAAAATTCTAGGTCAGGCACGGTGGCTTATGCCTGTAATCCCAGCACTTTGGGAGGCCCAGGCGGGCAGATCACCTGAGGTCAGGAGTTTGAGACCATCCTAGCCAACATGGTGAAACCCTGTCTCTATTAAGAATACAAAAATTAGCCAGGAGTGGTGGCAGGCACCTGTAGTCCCAGCTACTCGGGAGGCTGACGCAGGAAAATTGCTTGAACCCGGGAGGCAGAGGTTGCTGTGAGCCAAGATTGCGCCACTGCACTCCAGCCTGGGTGACAGAGCGAGACTCCGTCTCAAAAAAAAGAGAAACTTCTAATGCATGTACTTCATGTAGAAGAAAAGTGATCTCAGATGGAGGGTCTGAGATGTAAGAAGGTATTGCAAATAAAGTGGTAAATACGTAAGTAAAGCTAAACAAATATTAATCAAATGCACCAATAATAATAATGTGCTATGAAGATTAAGAAGACAAGGTAGAGTTAAAATAGATGACAACAGCATTATATACTGACAGAGAGTGGTAGTTGAAATTTAATTGCCCAAAGGACTTTTATTGTTCACCACTGTAAACACATAGAGGTAATTTAACCTTTCTTAATAGAAACAAGAGTTTAGAAATTTTTAAAAAAAAATGAGAAAAAAAATAACCAATTCAAAAATGTAAAGAAGGAGAAAAACACATACAAAATAGAGACAAATATAAAACATAAAATAACAAGGTATAATTAAAGCCAAATGTATTTGTGATTACAATAAAATTAAATGGGCTAAATGCCCCAGTTAAAAGACAAAGATTGTCCAACTAGATTAAGAACAAAGTTTAAAACTAGCTGTATGCTGTATAAAAGAGTCATATCCAAAGCAGAAGCATACAAAAGGCTGAAAGATATGCCAAGAAAATAATAACCTACCAAAAGTGCAGGTAGCTCTAGTAATATAAAGCCAAAACAGACTTTAAGGCAAAAAGCATTTGTAGAGATAAAGTTTGTCATTACATAATGGTAAAATGTTCAATTTACCAGGAAGACACGATTATAAAATAGTAAGTATCTAATAATACAGACTAAAATTACATAAAGCAAAAACTGACTACAAACTACTTAAAGTAATATGCAAATCATCTAAATATAATAGCATAAAAATACAAGGTACCTAAGATTACATCTAAAAAAAGGTACTTTCAAGACTTCTATAGAGTTATAAAACTCTATTGAAATAATACCTAAATAAAATATATAACATATTTACAGATTAGAAGACGCAATGATAAAGATGCCAATTGTGCCTAAATTGAACTGTAGATTTAACATAATTCTAACTGAAATACCAATAAAATTTGTTTTGTTTTGTTTCTTTTGTTTTTTTTTTCTGTGAATATTGACAATCTGATTCTAAAATTTACATGGAAATGCAAAGATCCAATAAAGCTGAGGCACTCTTGCAAAACAGAGCAGAAGCGTTAGCCTTATCAGATAAGATTTAGATATTAAGTTGGTGTTATACTGGTGCAGGAAAAAAAAAAAAAACAGTGAAACAGATAGAGTCAGAATAGACTCATATATATGAGCCCTTAATAATGACAGGTG